TCGATGGATTCTTGATGGGCTTGGGCAGATCGAAGATGTTGCTTCTGCGGGTCAATGGAGACAGAGATATGTAAGTATATAGAACAGATACAGAGTATATTATACAGAACAAAGTCCGGTACTCACTTGGTGGCATTGTAGAGCAATCGCGAGGGCACGCGACTTGGTGGCGTCGGCTCGTTGGTGGTGAATATATAATGGATATAGACAGTTCCCGCCACAGCTGTCGGCGAGATAAGAGCAATTAGATATTTGGCAATTTTAATTAGGCGAGCGCCTTCGGAACTGATTGCGCTTCGATAAGGTGACTCATTCGCCATCGTTCCATTCGAAAACGCCCTGGAATGAAAGCGGAAGACTTACCCGCAAAGACCAAGACCAGAGAATATACCACGAAGGCGAAAAACAGAAAGAAGGTGGGATAATACCAGATGACGGCCAGCAATGTAAGCGTGATGCCCGAGACAATAATCCTCCAATTTAATTGCAATGCACGTAGTAGCCTGTAAGTGAATTCAGCAGGTCTAATCCATATCGCATACACGAGGACATATGTATTTGATTGGATATTTGTCCGCACTTACCGCGTGGCCAGGAGCGTTAGGCGCTGCGTTGCCGTTACGGATGGCTCCGGTTCGATGGGAAACAGTGGCAAGCGTCGATTCTCCATGGCATCCACTGTGTGCTCCTCAGATTCCATCGGGCAATTGACTCCGATTCGGGACATCCGAATCACTGCCTCCTCACCTTATTGCCTACTTGTCTTCTGAATATTTGATGAGTTTCGTACATTTTCGACCCGCTGACCATTAAAAATAGTTCTCAACAATTGCGTCAATTCCGCTTTGGTCTGGTGTCCACCACCTCCTCCTCCTCCTCCACCTCTTGCTGCGTCGTCGACGGCTTCTCCTCCACCACCTCCGCTTCCGTCAACGAATGAAAACCGAACACAAATATGGTATCGTACAGTATTGTATCGGCTTTTGGAGAAGCGTCGTCCGTCGTATATTGAATATATGGGCTGCGAGACAGCTGGCTGGGAATCGGAATCGGAATCACAACTGTCGGCAATATGCGCTAAATCAATACTGGGCGACTCTGCGGATCCGCAACAAGTTGATTGGATTGGTCAGCTTTATCCGGAGCGGAGGTTTCATTTCATTTCGCTGCGACTCGGACTCGACTCGTTTCGTTTTGATTCGTTTCCGAGGAAAGGAAATCAAAACAAGCGACTCTGATTACTGATTACACACTCCTTCGATTCAGGTTGATGTGATATTATTGTTGGTGTTGTTGCTATTGTTGTTGTTGCTGGCGCTGCTGCTGCGCAGTTTGGGATCGGCCTGGCCCTGATAACACGTCACGTCATAAGTCCGCTTCATTCCATTTCACGACCGGCTATCCACTATCTTTACTGTTATGTTTATGAATTTTGCCCTTTGCTTTGCTTCTTCGCCCTTCGCGAAATGTTGTATCTCTTTCTCTCACTCCCATCTCGCCGATAGGCAGAAGGGCACGCCTATCGATGACCAATCGATAGTTTTTTTTGTCGTTATCGACATAGCCAATTCAAATTCAAACTGGATTTCGAAAAGGATAATTCCGAAAAACATTAAGAATCATATTGGAAAATGAAAAGCGATATAGAATGTAACATAACCATATAACATATATTACTATATAACATAAATAAAAAATAGAAAATCAAATTTCAATTAAAAATTAAGAAACTGTAATCTGCATTGTTTATAGATAATTTAAATGGTTTCTTATTGGATTTTCTAATAAATGCTACTGAAGGGCTTCAAATAAAACGCGTCGTTTATCATTAGAAACTAGATATATACATATATCCAGTAAGTGTGTGTTTATACACATTGTTTTATTGTTTACATGACATGGCTGTTTGCGAATCTTCAATGTTCATCAATGACAAAAACTAACTAAACTTAGTTTATTTGGGTAGATTTTTGTTTGTTCTTTTTTGGTATTTCAAGTTTTCTGTTTGTGGATTCGTATGACGCGGTGATTACGTAAGCTATTTGACTAGCTGGATTTTCCCCACAACCCAACTGACCACTCTTCACCCCAACCGACTCCTATTAAATGCCTCCTCCGCCGAATCCATCGTCAATAGTCTACTGTTCCTTTGCCAGGCGACGCAATGCACGCTTCCGGGTGCCCAGGATGTTCTTCAGAACGACATTGCGTGCGAACTGCTCGCCGAACACGGCCTCCGTGAAGTGGATGACAAGCTGGAGCAGAGCATGGGGCAGATAGCCGGCTGTCTGGGTGGCAATGCCCAGGGTGGACAGCGCCGAGCGGACATATGTCTCCGGCGAGGGAGCAAACATGCTAGCCTTCCGGATCTTCGACATGTTTGTGGCCACAAAGCCCGGCTGGACGCTCTGGATGAGGATGCCGTTCTCCTTGTACTCCGTCTGCAGGTCATCACTGAATTTGTTTACAAAGGCCTGCAAATTATAGTTATAAGTATTAGCATTCTATCAATCCTGTGATATCGCTCACCTTGGTGGAACTGTACACGCTCAGCAGGGGATTGGGAATGACACCGGCGGTGGACGACAGATTAATGATCACTCCACGTCGCTCGCTAATCATGCCGGGCAGGAAAAGTGCGGTCATGTGGGTCACCGAGTGGATATTGGCAGCCACGATGTTGCGCAGAAACTTCGGATCGGCCTTGTAGCAGTCCAGGAAGTACTCGGGATGGCTGTAGCTGATGCCCACGTTGTTGACCAGCACTCCGACATTCAGGCCAGTGGTCTTTTCACGAATCTTATCATAGATCTCGGCACCGCCGGTGAAGTCCACATCGATCACACGCACCTCCACACCGTATTTTTCGCCTGAAAGTAGACCGTAAAGAGTTAGCTGGAGTTCTTAACTGTCTTTTTGTGTCTGCTACTTACCAATTTCCTTGGCCACCACATTCAGTTTTTCCAGGGATCTACTAATCAGCACCAGCTTCAGGCCCCTGCGAGCCAGCTGAAAGTGATTAAATGTTTATTAACTTACATACTCAGAAGCTGTGTTGTATTGTATAAATGTTCTAACTGTTATTTAAGTCTTCTGCCAAATGTTGTATCATACAAGGTATAGTTCGTTTAAAAATTATAACCGTCCTGCTCATATTTACGTACTTTTGGAAAGTAAATTCTTAGATAAGAGATAAAAAGCAATGGAGCGAAGAAAAACTGAAAGGAGCTTTAAAGCCGTAGATTCCAAGAACAGGAAGTCATTGAAATGTACTATGCGTGTATAAATAGAAATTTGAAGTGAACATTGAACCATTTTTTCTGTGCGTCCGACGCACGCCGAATGCTAATTTTTCAGAAGCTTCGATCGTGGCCGTTATTCATCCTATACATATATGTATGCCTATAAAGTAATTGCCCTTCAGGCGACACGTGTTCCCTATATGTAGGTAGCTTCTAGGTTCGGTTGCTCCTAGTGGGTGTAGTAAAATAGACCCGGGAATCGCCCGTTCTCCAAAAGAAAATACACAAAAATAGGAAAAACACCTGCGACTGCACTTTGTAAAAATAAATAATGAAAAGTACAAGTGCGAAGGCAGCAAATGTAGCGATTTGCAGTCAAGCAAACACTATTAGGGACTGTTTGCGACTGGACTGTTGACTGAAGATCGATTTCAAAGTGCAGATTCACTTGGCTAATGCATTGGGGACCGCAAATATAATGTCCAAGTCATCGTGGGCGACACTAATTGCTCATTATTACTGTCGTTTTTTGGTTTTTTTATGTTTGACCCGTTTCCTGTTTTTCTATAGTCGAACTTGGGCGGACTTTGCATGTGTTGGCCAAGATTGGGTCATGCAGCCATGTCATCTACATACCTCCTTGGCGTAGGCCTTCCCAATACCATCGGTTGACCCGGTGACAACTGAAAATCGAAATAGTTAGCCAATAGTTCTGTGGGTTATCAGTGGATGTATGGGCATGGGGAACGCTCTTATCGGTAACAGTGAAAAAAATACTCAAGTTCCAGGTATTTCACTGGGAACTTGTGCATGCAAAATTGAAAAGAAGATTGGTATTAAGGTGAATAATTTTTGCAACGTTTGCTTTAGAAAAAGTGAAAGTACAGTTTACCATATAGAAATTCCTTATAGGTGTATATAAGAATATTTCATTTTGTTCGATAAATTTAAATTAAGGCATGCTAAAGACCCTTTGTAAGTACACCCTGTACCTAAGTTAATCTTTAGTTTTTTTCATTGTGACTCGAATCGACCCCGTTGTCACTCCTTTCCCGCATGTTTTTCCATAGCAACCGACTCACCTGCCCACTCGCCCATTTTGGACAGATCCACGGAGGAGCCAAAGACCTTTGGCCCCACCACATTGGCGTAAATCCAGGGCAGGACCTTCCGGAAAACCTGGAAGCCAACAATGCCGATGGCCAGACCGCCCAGCAAGCTCATCACTTGGGAATTGTTCTCCTCCATGTTGTTGATGGGTATTACTGCTTCCTGGTATGGGTGTATATAGCGCGATTGCGATCGGACGACTGCTATAGCCTGTGCCGGCTGATTAGTTTCTGATTCTACGATTTTCGAGCTGCAGTGCCCAAATGGAAATGCTGACGCCGCCGCTGCTTTTTTTTGTTCGTCTCTGCCGACTGCGCTGCCTTTTCGTACTGTATTTGTGGTGCCGTAGTAAATCCACACACACCCTTCCAAATCGCCGCTGATTTTCGATTACTCGATTTTTGTACGCGTGTTGTTTGGCTGATTTGTATTCCAAATGCGTTTTCTTTGAAAGGAGAAACTTAAGGCAGAAGGGGGAAAATAAAAACAAATGGAAAAAGCGATTGAATGTCAATTGTCAACGGCACAAAAGCGAATGAACGGTTCTTTTTCGTATCCATGTGCCCCCATCAGAGGGGTGTGTGTGTGCGCCTATGTGTCTGCGTGTGTGTGTCCACTTATGTCATTTCATAGCGCTCACGCACACAACCAAAGTCCATAGATAAGGGCGGCTGCAAACAGTGCCCGCAAAAATAAATCACACCAAGAACCGTTATGTTGCACTACCCGGTTTTAAAAAGGGTGATTAAAATGAAATGTAGCAATGGTTTTTCGCTTAGGGGCCCACAGATTCTCGGTTTTTGTTTATTTCTGCATATCCTTGTGGTTAACTTATGTATTATTAGTTTATTTCAATGATAAAAACGAATGCATATATCATACGACGTCAGTGTAAGTTCTATGCTCTCACCAATACATGCAAAATGGGGCAACCACCGAATTAGTTTCACTGATTTACTGCACATGCGCAGGAAGCAAAAAGTGCGATAAACAATTTAAACAATTTAGTTTAAATGCGACTGCTACAATTAACGTTGTTAGGTATTTTTGATGTTGTTAGTAACGGCTGCTATGTTAACAGTAGATTAATGACAAAGTGAGATGGCAATAGCGAAATCCTTAGCCTATCGATAAATATCGGTTACTTATCGAATTTCGAACTTGAAGCTTAATTTGATAGTAAAATAATAATAGTTTATCTGTATTTTCACTCTTGGCGTTTAACGAACAGTAAAATACTGTTCTTTTTGTCTTCGATCCTCTGATTACTCCGCATACAGAGCTCAACGGAATTCGAGGACCCTGTTTAGTGGGTAGAAATCCCTGGATTCCAAAGATGCCGAGAGAGATGCTGGCTCTTCGGAGCGAAATCAGTGCCGAAGCAAGTGTGGGTGAGGGAACAACAACGCCAAAGGACCGGCAAAAAAACAATTTTTACATAGTTAAATATTTATCAGAGCCATCCTACGATTTGAAAAGAGCTATTTGTCCGGGAGAAGTAAGCAAGCAAAATAATTAATTACTAAGAAAGTCTTATTTTGAAAACAATCGCGAACACTGCAATATTTTGAGCTTAAGAGGTGAGTGGCGTCTGCTATTTGTTGTTGGGGCTCGGGCAGAGGGATTCTCATTCGGCTATAATAAAAGGGATGCGGATGCTGGCCATGCGCAGAGCATGTCCTGACCTACATTCCCGCTTATTGGCCATCCAAGCAGCAGTTGCAAAAGAATAAATACACACGCAACACGGGCTGGTTAATAAACGCTTTTCCGATTTTCCAATTGTCGGACATTCCCTACCCTCCAGCCGCCATCCGAGCGCTGAAAAGTGTGAAAAGAAATCAACAAAAATAACTAAAAAAAAGAAAAGAAGTAAATATACATATATAATCGAAAAGGACCCTCTGGAAAGCAGATACTTGGAGTGCAATATGTCCAGCCATATATTGCCGCAGGGCAATCGATAAGCGAAGCATAGTCCGTGGAATCCTCGCTGGCGATGCAGTGGGACGCCGATGCAGTTGGACTTGGATCGATATAGAGCAGATTACAGGCGCGTTCATATGTTCATATCCTGCGGTGAGTGGCGCCAGTCGATGCATCATCCCGCATCCTCTAACCGTATCCCGTAAGTCGGCATATGAAGACACTCCGTTGCAGTGATGAGATCGAGGCTGTTTTGGATACTGGCGATTATATACTCCTCACTCCATCACATCGGCTCGGGCTCCACGTCGACCACATGTGAGTGTCCGTCTCCTCATGCCTTATATTTTTTTGCTTTTTGCCATAATCACTGCAAACTTTTACCCAACTCAAACTTTGGCAGTTTTTTGGCAGCTGAAAATTAAGTTCTTTTGTTTACTTTGCGGATTACCCCAGGGAAAAGTGATTTTTCTTTCTAAATAGCACTTATTTTAATACCTAGCGAATCCATATAATTTGCTTAAAATAACCCAAATAGTTGTTTCGCATCAATTTCACTTTTATCCATGATTTTAGCTGAATTATTTGCTTCTTAGGAACGTTATTTATTTCAAAAACTATTTTGCCACATATTTTTCGATGTTCTATGATGTTTTATGATTTTATATGTTAACTAAATCTGAATTTATTTTCGAACTAGTAAAACGACCGCGAGCTGGCGATCCATTCGACACGTTTCCAAAGAACTTCTGGCAGGAGTTCTCGTCGCCGTTCACCGACACGCCCGAGGATGAGGAGCTGGAGGTCACCGAGACGACCACGCACGAGCCGTTCCCGTTCTTCGCCGATCCGTACACCACCCTGAACATCAGCACCCAGCTCTCGTCCAGCGTTTATCTGCACTGCCGGGTGAACGATCTGCAGGGCAAGACGGTGTCCTGGATGCGGCGACGTGGCGAGGACCTCACCCTGATCACCTTTGGCCAGCACACGTACAGCGGAGACTCGCGGTACTCGCTGGAGTTCGAGGAGCCCAACGATTGGAAGCTGCTAATACAGTTCGCCAACGAGCGAGACGAGGGTCCCTACGAGTGCCAGGTGTCCTCGCATCCGCCGCTCGTCCTGCTCGTTTACCTTACGATAATTGGTGAGCGGTTGGTTTGCCAGTGACAAGGCCACCCTGATTTCATACCTCTTCCTCCGGCAGTTCCTCACGTGGAGATCCTCGACGAGCGGGGCTCGGCCACGCCGGAGAAGTACTACAAGGCTGGCAGCACCATCGAGCTGCAGTGCGTCATTTCCAAGATTCCGCATCCCTCCTCCTACATCACCTGGCGGCACGGACAGCGCCTGCTCAACTACGATACTAGCCGCGGAGGAATCAGGTAGGAGGCGCCTTAATATGATATACGAGTATAGCATAGGGTATTGCGTTCGAATAAGTACATACGAGTGTGTGGATCCGGTCCTGAAGAATTCGAGCATTTGCTTAGTGCATCCATATTTGAAGGTTTATTACGATACATTTGCAGTGTCAAGACGGACATGCTACCAGGACGAGCTCTGAGTCGCCTGTACATCGCCAATGCCAATCGCCAGGACACCGGCAACTACACCTGCATGCTGGGCAATGAGATTACCGAGACGGTGGTGGTCCATGTGCTGAACGGTAAGTGAGAGTCTCCCCCTTCAGCGGAATGCATACGTATGTAATCCGGAATTCCAGGTGAGGAGCCAGCCGCCATGCAACATGCAAATGGAAGCCGCCAAAAGGCCGACGCCTCCACAATGGTTGTGTTATTTCTAGTGTACGTGTGCATCTCCGTATCCGTTTCCGTAGCCGGAATAGAACGGGGATTGGGATGGGGATGGGGATCGGGATGGGAATTAAGACGATGACGGCGCAGTCTAATCCGAGGATCGTAGATCCCAGATTGTGTCGCGGGAAATGCATACACCAAAAGAGTCTTGTCCAGGATTGCATTTTCGACTTTTACTCTAATCATGGGTTGTTTAACATACGATACATAGCATTAACCGAATACTAAGCTTAAGTCAAGTGTATTTAAAAACCAAAAATCGAAAGATCGAAGACACACACAAAAAAAACCGAAAAGCAAGTGAAAAGTATGACTCGTACTAGTACGGGCAAACGCGAAATATAGATGAAATATAAATGAGAAATTGATTTTTAGCGCTAGAACATAACATTATTAGTATCATAATCGAATCGAATGTACTACCAAACGGCCGTGTTTATGTTGGCTAACATACGAGTATTGATCTTATATACATACACATTATTGCATCTAACGTATCCATTTAGCTCTTTGTTACCTCCACGTCATTATGGATATACCTAGATTTGTAAGGTCCAAAGATTTATGCATAATTGTTTCTCACTCGGATCGCCTTCCAAAGGTCGTCACAAATATTTCCATAGCGCTCGTGTGTATTCTATAATCCCGATTAACATATAGTATACACCTCCGATCCAAGGCCTTCTTAATGAAAATATGGTTGTAGCTTCTTGAAATCAAACAGCATATCAGTTGGGATCATTCTAATCGTAATAATAATCAACACCGAACAAAATCATAGTTCATTTATCCATCATTCGGTTTTTTCTTGTCTTTCTCTCAGATTTTTAAATACTTAAGTGCATCGATCCAGTTGGATAGCTGGCTGAGGAGGCTAAAATACACAAAAAAGGTTGTTAAATTATGAAATAATTGGAAACATTATAAATGCGTGAGCTTGAACAGCAGTTTTTCTTAGTTTATCCATGATCTAGAAATGTAAAAGAGAAACACTTAGGAAATGTTTAACGTTAACAAAACTGTGCCATTCAAAATGGATACATATCGTTTAATTGTTGTTAATTCGGTTGCGGAACCAATGACCATTTGAGGCAAAAGAAATTAATTGTATATTTGTATCTTTTTGACGTCGAAAACACAACACAACTCGGACCAATGGGTAAATACTTGATTCTTTGATTGAAAACGGTCCCAAAAACCAAAAAATCGAAACCCCTAAAAGTAATTCAATTAAACGAAATAAATCACGATCAAGAACAAGAAGCAAATGAATACTTGCCACTTTCATTTCTCGATTTGGGCGTCAGGTGCGGAGCCATCATTCGGTATTCACATAGCAAATGCCCACTGTACCCTCCCCCACATGCGAGTACATCAGTTTATATCTTAAGCTTCAGCTTCGAACGATCACCGCCTATATAAGTCCCAAAAAACTTTCAATATCCTTACTCACTGACGGCTTTCCAATTACATATTGCTTTCAAGATCGGTTATTATATACATACATGCATACACTCTCTTTACAAATTGTATTTTGAAATGAAAGCTCAGCTTGGAACACACAACAAAAACACAACAAAATAAAAATATTACGGAAATAAGCAAAGTTAAGAAACGAAATTATTGATAAGGCTTGAGGCCTAAGTACTTGGGTAAACTAATTTCAAATGGTCCAGTGTAGTTATTGTAAATTATTCAAATTGATCCCGACCCGAATCGGTCCTTGGATTATGCCCTTAAATAACACAAATGAAAAACGAAACGAAACGAAACAAAACAAAACAAGACAAATGTTGGAGTGAGATAACGAAACAATACTTAGAGACTAATGAAAGTGACGAAACGAAACGAAACGTAACTTTTAGAAAGATTTTGGTTACAGAATTATATTTAATAATTACTACATTTAAAATTGAGATTATAAAACTACATACATAATGTATAACGCTGGCGTCCTCTGGTCAATAGCCGATTCGACGGCGCCAAAGATACCGTCATTGTCAAGCAAAAACCAATGGGAACTAAAACTAAATGCAAAATTGTATAAAAAATACACACAGACACACAACCACACACTTGTTTTTTCTATTAAAACATTCAAAACATCTGAAGTGTCTTTCATTTTGCCACAGAATAAACATCTGTATTTGATTTTCACTGCATATGTAGGTATATATTTACATATTTAACGACTACTCGATATTAAATAGTAAAACAAATATCATCTTAAAGTTATCCTAAACTTATACTGCCTCCGCCTCGTACTCCACATCCGCATCTGTGTACATCTTGGCTGGCTGCCCAGCCAGCCCATTATCCGTCTCCATCATTTCGACATCGCGACAACTGGCCGCCTGCAGCTCCCTACGCACATCGGGTGTAATCTTGAAATGGCTCTTCTTCCTGCAATTGTGATTGTGATTAATTTACTAATAGCGCTGGCTTTTTTATAGCATATGATTTACATACTTGAGCAGCTGGAGCAGTGCATCCCGCTGTTCGGAGGATATATCGTTCTTGTAGCGCTGGGCAAAGGTGAGCAGGCTCTGGTGCCATAGCACTGGTAACTCACGCTTGTCGTTCTCGAATCTGCAAGAAACGATGTTATTTCGGTTTATGCGGTTTTGTAGTGAGAGAATACCAACCTCAAAAAGTGAAAGACTGCGGCATCCACGACGCGATAAGGCAGAGCATACCGCTTGTCCAGGAAGTAGCGGATGAATATGGAGTTAGCACCCGAGTAGGCCATCTCGCAGATCTTCAGCAGGCAGGCGGAGGAGTGCAGGACGGGTATGGAGCTGCGGGCCACCACGCTGCCGAAAATTATAGCCTCGCGCAGTGTGCAATCGCCGCCCTCGAGCAGCGGCAGAATGATGCCCTTCATGAAGGCAGCCGGCTTGAACAGAGCCCTCTTCAGTGCATTGTACAGATGCATATTTAGCTTCTTATATTCGCAGAGATCATCGCGAACTCGTGGCAGAAGCACGAGGTTATAGAACCTCTGGGCCATTGCCTGCGACAGCACCGAGCAGAAGATGCGGGTGCCCTGGAACATGGCGGCAGCGCTCCAATTATGCGGCTCAGTGATAAACAGGATCTGCTCCCAGTTGCGCAGCTTGGGTATGATCTTAAAGGCCTTGGGAATCTTACCACTGCGATAGCGTTTCAATACATCGCGTACACCCTCGTACATCTCCTTCACTTTCGGGTCGATCTCCTCGATCTTTAGGGAGCCCTCGTCAGAGATCTTGGTGTGTATGTCGGCCTCCTTCTCCTGGATCTTTTGCATGATCATTTTGGAGAGGTGCAACGTACGCTTGCCCTCCTGTGCTGGTTGCTGGAAACGCTCGAAAGCGGCTACATCGTCCTCGTCCATGTCCAGGTCGGCCATGAAGTCAGTTTCGTTGACCTCTTCATCCTCCTTGACATGTCCATCGTCTAAGTGAGTAGGGATAGGTAATAATGAATTAGCTCTGATACACGCGGTTAGGTAAGCTTAAAAATTATAGGGGCATTTGGCGCACTTACTCAAATTGAAGTTGACTTTCTTGACGGTCACCAGACTGGGAAAGTTCTCCTCGTCCAACTCCAACTGCTGCAATTTGGCGGCGGCCAGGATCTTTTGGCTGCTCCTGGCGTCGATGTTCTGTGTTTAAAATATTCAAGAATTTGATTAAGAACACGAAATGCAGTTTAAACTCGAACTCTTACCGCAGATTCCTCGGCCCGTAGTTTGACCTTATCCTTGCTCTTGTTTTTGGCCACCCTGCCCTCAGTGATCTGCTTTTCCAGATTCACATTTTTGATCGTCACCACGTTGGCCTTCTTCGGCTTACCCATTTTGCACGGATATTGTCAAAAATCAAGCGCAATAATAAAGGTAACACAAGTTGTAATCGCTACACGTGTTGCAACAAAGCAGTGGTGTTGCCGGCTATTTCGGAAATCGAAAAACAAAACACATTATCGCCGGTCTGGCAACGTTGCAGCAGGGTTGGCTTTTCGATAGGCTTGTGAGAGCAGGGATGGTGGCGCACGCGATACTTAAAAATCGTGATGAGAAAATATATATTGCTTTTGAAGCTCGTTATGAAATCAATTGAATCTATTTTATCGTTTCCGGATGTGTTTAAACAGACGCAAAAATAAATATTCCGACCGGACCATAGTATAATAAGTTAAATCAGAGCAATTATTAATATTTTCCTCTACTAATCAACAGATAGTGAATTATCAGATAATTAACAGATAGTGTTATTTTGAAACATACTTGGCACAATTCATTTAATTTGATCCAATACAAAGAATGTAATGTTTATTTTAAATATCGTAGTTTTTATTTACTCTTCATTATGTCCCAGTTTTGCAATTCCAAAAGCAAATGCATAAAATTGTCCGCTAACTTTTCACATCGGTAAAAGTGAACAAATATCGCCGTGAATGCGAACTATCGATATGCGCCTGTACAACTGGTCGATTTGCGATCTCTACTTCCTCCTATCGGTCTTTTCCAACCCTGCGCTCGCAGCCAACAGACCTCCGCCGTTTCTTTTTTTTTCTGCGTTGCGTGCAAACAGACCGACAATATGAAGGTGTGCTAAAAATTTGTGAAATAACTGATATAAATAATTTCTACTTTGTGAAATATTGCGAAAATGCTAAAGCGCAAGCATTGGCGCGGTGATAATTACAAATTACAATCGAAAATGTCCAGTGATTGCGTTAAAATAAGTGGATGATATTTTATCCGATGCGATTCGACGAAATATATATATAAATATATATAATTATATATGTTTATACATTGTGTGTGACTTGTTTTTTTTATTGTGTGTTCCAGCTCAACGTTTCCTATCCCGCGACGGGATGCCAAAAGCTGTTCGAGGTGGTCGACGAGCACAAGCTGCGCGTCTTCTACGAGAAGCGTATGGGCCAGGTTGTGGAGGCCGATATCCTCGGTGACGAGTGGAAGGGCTACCAGCTGCGCATCGCCGGCGGCAACGACAAGCAGGGATTCCCCATGAAGCAGGGTGTCCTGACCCACGGTAAGTTAGGAATGCAATTTGCAATTGTGGCGTT